TTTGGGGAGAGCAAAGTTTAGGGAGGGCAGAGTTTAGGGAGAGCAGGGTTTGGGGGGTTGACGGGTGAGAATAGCGTTCAGGTCTGGGATGGGGAGGGCGGAGTTTGGGGAGGAGAGAGTTTGGGAAGGGATGGGTGAGAGCGGAGTCTGGGGAGGGCACAGTTTGGGGAGGGCGGTGTTCAGGGGAAGGATGGGTGAGAACAGTGCTTGGGAAGGGATGGATGGGAACAGTGTTTGGGGAGGGATGGGTGAGAACAGTGTTTGGGGAGGAATGGGTGAGAGCAGAGTTTGGGGAGGGATGGATGGGAACAGTGTTCAGGGGAGAGATGGGTGAGAGCAGAGTTTGGGGAGGGATGATCCCTTGCTGAGCAGGTGGGAGCAGGCAGGGAGCTGGACTCTGCTTCCTGCTGTGCACAGAAGTGCGAGGGAGGGGGTGGTTCAGGCAGGAAAGGCATAAAATTAGCAAAGAGTAAAGGTCAAAGGAAAGAGAAGAAGGGAAACTTATCTCAGGCTGGGGAGGGAAGGGCAAGTTGCTGTATTTCCTGCAGTGGTGCCTGATTGTGGCCAGTTCTCAGCGTTCAGGTGCCTGTGCTGCCCAGAGGTGCAGGTGAAGTGATGTGTGGGCTGTGATCCCTGCAGCCTGAGCTGGGATTTCCCCAGGCCTTAAACACCTCACGTGTAGAGCTGTGCCTGTTCACATCTCAGAGTGGGTGGGAGAACTTGTGCAGCCCCAGCTCGTGGAACTGTTCCTGTCTTCGTGAGGATGTTACAGAACAACAACACCCTGTGCCAAACTCCACAGCTTGTTCCCAGTGTGTGGTCTGGGTCACTGTGGGCACTAAATTACTCTGAGGAGTTCCAGGTAGGGTGGGTTTAGCCTTGGGATGTCTCTCCCATCTCTTCAGTGGGAATGGCAGTGACTTCTGCAGCAGAGAGGGAAGCTCCTCACAAACTGCCTTCATGGTCTTTTAGTCCCTTTATGGCCCTCACAGAAAAGCACCTGCAGTTGGCAACCGACTCCTGGCCCTGAAATAGTTTTATCTGCAAACTGGTGTCATTTGTCTGCCCTGTCTCCCAGCCAGCCTCCCTCTGAAGGGAGAGTTCAGAGTGATAATTCAAGGGTGATTTTAATTCCAGGCTCATTCCTTGCACGTAACCCCTGCATCAGTTTTCCTGCCCGTTCATGAGTTCTGTGGGAAGATCCAGGTGGTCCAAAAGCAAACAGTCCCCCATGGGCTTCTGGATGTGTTGGTGGACTCTGTGTCAAGTCCTTGAGTGTTGACACATATCTATAACTGTTGTCTTTGTTTTGCTCTGCAGTGGGGTTATGGAGACTAAGAGGGATCAGGCACTGATTGGAGTCCAGAATTATTTGGAGGTAGGTCCTTGCTAATCGTGTTGCTTCATTAGAATGAAGCTCCTGGGGTCACATTGCTCAGCTCCAGATTTTATCAAGGGTAACTGTTGTTTTGAGGCTGACACTCAATAAAACTACAATAAAACTCAATAAAACTACAGTGCTAAACACTGTAAAGTTCCAAACAGCCCAAGTGCTTTAGAAATGATGTCACTGTGGAGATTGTGAGCCTGAAAAAGATGTGAACCCTTCGATGAGCCTTGAAATGGAGGCCTCTGAGTGCAGAGCTGTGATTGTGAGAGGCCCTGCTCAGGTGCTGAAGGTACCTAAGCATGTGAGGCTTCCTTAGCACTCATGGCTTTGCCTCCCCTTGCTCTTAAAACTGCCCCAATTCCAGTTCTAGCTCATGGCAAAATCCTTTATGGCTTTGGAAAGCTCCATGCAGTGTCCTCCTGGGAGAGGATGCCTCTGATGGATGTTTTCAGAACAAAGCACAGCAGGATGTCCATTGTTCCTTGCTGTTCCCATTCTTTTGGAGTTCTGATATGCCAGGGGAAAGAAGTTCTGATCCTGTTGTCGTGGTTGTTCCCTGTGCTGCTCCCAGGGATCCCCCAGAATACAAGAATGGCTTTCAGGACCCAAGTGCTGTTGGGGCTTGGAGTGAGTGTGCAAAATGTAGTAGAAAATGGGTCAAAGTAGGGTGAAAGCTCAGCACACCTGAGCATTGTAATCCAGTTGTAATTTAATTACAAGCTGCTGGTGAATCCCATGTTCTGGGGCAGGGCAGGAATCAAAAGGAAGCTGCATTATTTGTCTTGGAAGCATCAGGTAGTTCAAAATGAAGTGTGTGTGTTTTTAGAAGATAAAGGGTTTGTTGAAGAGGTTCAGGCTGATTGCTGGGGGTCAGATCAGACCTGTGTGTTAACAGCCAAGCCTTTTGTACCTCATTTTTGGTCCCAAGTGCAGCAGTGTGCAGGTGGGGTGCCCACCAAGCTGGTTTGGGCCAGTCTGTGCTCTGCCCTGGCTACAAGCCTGATGTTCTGAAGAGCAGAGCTGTTGAAGGGCTGGTCCAGAAGGACCTGCTGTCCCACCCAGCCTCTCTCTGTGACCATTTCCACACCACTGAGGGTGGGAGTTCCTGTGTGCCCTCCCTCCCCAGCCTGCAGGGGGAAAGTGTGAGGAATTATGGTTTGAAGAAGAGTGCTCAGGGTGTATTTCTGTGCCTTCTTGCCTGAGACCGTTGCAGAGAAAGCGGATAAATATTGTGCAGGTCTTGAAAGAAGAGCCCAGAGGACTTTCCATCTCATTTATCTCATCCTCTGAGCCATCCAGTGCCTCAGCCCCAGGACTTTGGCTGAGCCCAGCAGTTGTTTTGCATTATCCCAGGAACTGTGTTTGAACAGGCAGATGGGCAGGGTGGGCGATTAGGGGAGAAAAGAAGAAGGGGGGAAAAAAGGAGAACATGAGCTTATTTGGTGTTGTCTTTTCACAGTATCAGCACTTTGCAGGCCAGTTCTGGGCTATGTGCTTTGCTTTCATGTGGTGGTATTGATGCTGGGCACTGCTGAGCGGGGCTGTGTCTATTGGAACCACATGGGAAGTCTCAAAGCAACTCTAATAGAAAACTTCTGGAGCCTGTAGGAATTTCTCTTCCTTCCTCCTTTTCTGGGCAGCCTTGAACTTCGCTGCTTTCCAAAGCCAGGAAGGCAGCTGAAGGGAAGGGCAGAATTAAACCTGTTAGGAGGTTTAATTAATTTTATTGTATCCTAGAGATGTTCAGACGTTTGTTTGCAGTCACAGGCAAGCAGAAACAACCTGTGAGCTGCACACCTTGTGTTTCAACAGCTGCCTGGTTGAAAGGGTGGTTGGTGTGTGAGTGTGTGCTGGGGTAAAATTGCTGGGCTGGGGCTGAGCAGAAGGTCTGTGTCTCTGTAAAATGCTGGATCATACAGGACACTGAAGCTTTTGCAGTCCTCAGTCCTGCTCTGTAACAGAGCCCTGGGACTGGCACGAGGAAGTGGAGACTTGTTTTAGCTCTGGGACAGATGTAGATGTTTGATGGAGCTTTTAATATGTCTTTGAGGGGGGGGTGAGCTTTGCCAGAAAACACTTTATTTCTTTCCTGGAGACAACATATTTGTCTCGAAGCCCTTGGAAGCCCAACTTGCTGGTGATGGGTCCAAAACAAATCCCAGAGCTTGTTTCCCCAGAGGGGGACGTTTTAGCCCTGTGACTTGGCTCCCTCCAGTTCTTTGTGGAAGCTTTTAAGATGCAGGAGTTCATGTTCTAGTCTCAGCTCTCACAAATATCCCTGTTATAAAGGGAGGACCCTTGTTATAATATATATATATTATATATATATATATCCCTGTTATAAATGTAGCACCTTTTGCCAGGGTCAGTGGCTGTTTGTGGCAAACACCCCGTGGCATCCACAGATTCCCCTTCCCTCTGGTGGCTGGTTGGTGCCATCTCTGGTGGATGCTGCCCAAAGCTAATCTTCCCCCCACAAAGCTCTTTTTTTGGCCAGCAGCCTTGTGCCAAGGCCAGGATATTATTCCTCATGAAAGGAAAAGGGAGGAGGAGAGGGGAGAAGGAACATACACCAGCTCCTTACTATGCAAGGCAGCTTTGCTACAACCTCCTGCCCTCCCCTCTTCCCAACCCCCTGAAAAAAAAAAAAAAAGAGGAAGAAAGAAATGAAAACAGACCAGGAGAACTGTCATCTTCAACCTCTGTTTTGATAATAATTTCAGTGATGTAGGAGATTGCTTTGGAAACCTTTTTTTTTTTTTTCCCAGCAGAATCCACATTCTCAGCTTTCCCTTCAACTTTTATCTATCCCACTCCAAACAGGTGAGATTTTTTAATTGGTTTCAGTTGACAGAGCACCCAGGGAGAGTCAGGGAGGCTGGGATGACTTGCAACCAGAAGCTTGCACGTTTATTATTTATTAGAACATTGTCATTTATAAATCCTGGCAAAGGCAGTGCAGCCCCCCCCGTGTGTCTGTGCTGCTGAGGCCACTGCACAGGATGAAACCAGGAGCAATCCAGCTGCTGGGAGAGAGAGGGAAACAGGCACTTATTTTTCCAAGACATTCCTAATGCCTGCAGAGGTGGATGATTGAGCATCTCCAGGATTTTTCTCTTTTAATTTAGGCTTCAGGGAGAGAAGGGGATGAACTTTTGCTTCCCCACCATAGTCGGTGTACATTAGTGGGCCTGCTCTTCCTCTTGCCTCTCTCGTGCAGAGTGAGAAGAGAACTGAGCTGGGAGTAACAGCAGCAATTTGGAAGGTGGATCCCCATCACTCTTGGCACACAGCAGTGGAAATTTCAGCATAATTCAAAATATGGAAGTGCTTAATGAATGAAAGCTGTTAGCAGGACAGCCCTGCTAAGTGCAAGTAATACTTTCCCCTGCATCACTGGCAGGGCAGGGGGATAAACTTGCACCCTGGGATGCTCCAGGAATGTGGTTGTCTGGAAAGACTCTGGGAGTGAAGGTTAAATGCAAATGGGTGAGATGTGGCTCAGGGAAAGGCCTCCAGCAGGCACCAAGCCAAGGTTTTGGTGTTTGTGGCACCTGCTAAAGAGAATATTTGCATGTTCTGTGGCTTTAAAGAAGGGAGCAGAGACCTGTGAACCCTGAGCACGGGGAGGACAACCCAGCCCCTTCATTCCTCTGTCTTCTTTATTTCCTTTGAGCTGGGTGCTTAACTCCTGCTTCAGTTCCCCCCCAGGAATCCCCAGAGGATGTCAGACAGGAGGGGGATCTGGATTAACAGCACTGAAGCCTTTTGGGTTCCTCACACGAAAGACCTGCTTCTTTTAGGGGCCTGTTTGTACTGAAGGGGCAGGAAAAACTGGTCCTTATCCAAGCAATTACTCCATGTAAATAATGCACCTTTTTTGAAATGCAGTGTGGGGGATAATAACAGATCAAATTCCACAGGAAGCAGGGCAGGAAACCTTCAGCTGCCTATGGGATCCAAGAACTTTGGATGGCACAGGTAGGAGACATTTGCATAGGTGAAGGGTCACTTCTTAGTTGCCTGCAAAGGAGTTCAGCAGTTCAGGAATTCTCTCTTTAAGGGGATTGCATCCCTTCCTAATTAAATGAAATATTAAAATTGAAACTGGAGGCAGCAGTTGATGGGATATGATCAGCTGTGTGCCTGCTGGGCTGGGGGAGGGATCCACACACAAAGATTTCAGCTCCACAAGCTGTGATGGTGGTCACAGCCCTCCTGGGATGCTCAGGGACGTGGTGCTGGACAAGGGCAGCTGTGAAAATCCCTCTGGTTGAAGGTGTCCTTCAGTGCTGGCCCCTCTGTGGGTTTGGGGGCTGACCTGGGCAGGGCAAAGAACCAGCTCTGGCTCAGGGGCTGCAATCCCCTCTCCCTCTCCAGCCTGATTTCCAGCAGTGCTCAGCTCCTGGCAGAGGAGGAGACATCCAGTGTTCTCGTTATCCAGCCTGAAATGGGATGCAGTGTGGGATCCAAAGCACTGCTGCATCCAAACTTCTGCAAGCAAAAAAAAAAAAAAGAGGATGTTTTCCATGTTCTCTCCTGTTCTCTCTCTTTCAACTCTTGTTTCCACTGGCTGGTTTTTGTCTGATGAGAAAGGAGGGGGAGAAGAGGGTGGAGGAAGGGAGGAGCCTGTGACACCCAAACATCTCAGAAACTTTGCTCTTAAAATCAGCTCCTGCTTTAAGACAAATTGCTGAGGCACAAGCCAAGGTCTGCTCCAGAAAACTATTTCATTTCTGTCTGCTTCTCTCTGCTTAAGGGTGATAAATAAAGATTTTTCATTGTTAATTGTAGCCACATGTGAACTCCAAATAGAAGGATTAGGAAGGGGAAAATCAGTTTTGTTCTGTTTCCCAGGCCTCCCCCTGCAGCTTGGGGACATTTTTTTCCCTGCCTTCCTCTGCGTTTTAACTGTACATTTCTGAGAGCCCAGAATCCTGAACTGCCCAAATTGGAGTCTGGAAGGTATTTGTGAGTCAGCAGTTCAAAACTTTTACTGGCTCTTGTACCAAATTAAAGTCTAATAAAGACCACCGCTGGCTTCGCTGCTCAGGAGTGGGGATGGGAAAGGGAAGGAAATTTCTAGTCATCCTTCTGGTTTTCTGCCTTCTTTTGTGGGTTTTCAGTCTTTCAAAAATGTTGCACTTATTGCCTGTAACGATTTTCACTGGATTTTCTGTCTCAGGGCCTGCCCTCATCTCTTCTTGCATCTCTTCTCCTCGCTCTTGTTTGAGTGTGAATCTTGATTAAAAGACACCTTATTAGTGACTCATTTAGCAGGGGTTTATTTACTTTCCCAGCAGGAAACTTTAGTTAATTCCCCCAGTTGTTTTTCCAGTCAGTGGGCAGAAGGGAAAGGCAGAATAAAAAAGGGAATAAAAACCAGCTGCTTGGAGAGGAACAGCTGGGAAAGGGAAACAACAATCAGAGCCACAGGTGGATCCTCCAGCAAATCCCTGCCAAAATCCATAGGCAGGACCTCGAGGATCTTTTTGCAGTGCATTTTGCTGACTAATTTTTAAAGGGCATCTCAGCTGCAGTGTGATTTTAGGGGGTTTGGGGCTCTAATAAGCTTGAACTCGCTGATGCTGTAATTAAGTTTGTTGTTTTCTGCTTTAGCCCTGCTGTGCCAGAGGTCTTGGGGCGAGTGAGGCATCACCTGAATATTAAGGCAGCTCTTGGCTCCTGAAGAAAACTACTCTTGAGGAATATATAGGGAAAAACATAAATAAAACCCATCCTGTTTGTGCTGTGGTTGGTTGTAGCTGCTGGGACAGCTCAGTGTCAGCTCCTCACTGCTGGTGGGTTTTGAGAGCTGTGTTCTTGATTCTTAGCTCTGTATATATAGATATTTCTCAGTGGGACCAATAAATGCATTCCCTCAGTGCTGGGCTGCCCCTGCTCTGGCTCCTGTGTTCTCCACAGCTCATGGAAGTGTGTTCTTCCCATTGTGGCTGGAAAAGAACTTCTGCCTGCAGCACCAACCCCAGCATTTTACACCATCCTGGCCTGCAGTGCAAGCAAAGGCTGCAGCCTGAGCTCCTTCAGACACCTTGGCTGGTGTCTTGGCTGGTTTCCATCCCTTTAAGGGCCTGGGTTTTCAAGGATGGTTGGTTTGAATGGTTAATCCTGTGCCTCGTTTCTCACTCACCCAACGACACAAGGCAAAGGACAGGGAGATGAGTGGTTTTACTTCTATTTTCTGCATGAAGGGAAGCTCATGTGGCATTTTGGGTGTTCTGTTTGAGGTGATTTCAGGGCACAAAGTGAAAAGCCACTGGTGCTGGGATGAGTCCCCCAGACAGGCCCCTCTCCAGCACCTCCTTTGCCCGCGGTAACTCCAGATCCCTTCTCTGCCCGGGCAATAACAACGTGCTGAGCAGGGAGGAGGATGGGTTTTTTTTCCCCAGGTGAGCCCAGTGTTGCTGACCCCACCTCCTGTTGGCTTTCAGAAGGCAGCAGAGAGCCTCAAGGCCAGCGCTCCCATCAAGTTCCGCATCTCCAGCCGCACGGACACGGGGGTGCACGCGCTCTGCAACGCCGCCCACCTGGACATCCAGAGGGGCCCAGGGAAGCCCCATTTCAGTGAGGAACAGCTCCTCTCCAGCCTCAACAAGCACCTCAGGCCCGAGCCCATCCGGTGAGTCGCTGCCAAGTCCAAAATCTGTTCTTTTGCCTTTCTTGGGGAAGGGAGGAAATGCAGCGATGATCCCCCACCTTCACACACGGGGGGGATTTTCCCCCTGTCCTGGGTGGGTAAATCACCCTCTTGCACATGTATTTTTACTACAATTGCAATTAAAGTAGTTAATTAAAAAACCCCTCATGTTATTAATTATGTTAATTACGATTATTTTTAGATATATAATAATATATAATTAACAAAAATCATCAGAACACGAAGCGTGACAGCTTTCAGTTATTATTTCTTGCAGAATTTCAGAGTGAGTTTACTCTGCATGAGACCTAGGAAATAATCATGGAATCAGCGTTTTCTGTTAGGAATGTGCATCAATTACAACATTAATTACTTCTCACCTTATGAAGGTTTCAAAAGGTGGATTGAATTTCACGTTCTTTGATTTTCTCCCAGAGTTGTTGTGTGTTCTCTGTCAGGTGTCACTTCTGGTTCTTCCCCAGACACGAAGAACTTTTAGCTTTTCGTGCTTAAAGTGCAAACTGAATGAAACATTGGGATTTTTAGCCTAAAAGCCAAATCTGTGCTGTGTCATAGAATCAAGATATCATTTGCCAGCAGCTGCTTTGCTCTGCTCTGTTCTTTCCTGTGTTAACTTTGTGTTATTTGCATAAGTAAAAACTCTTCAAGGCACAGGTGGAGGGGGTCAAAGCACTTCAAAGTGTTGTGCAAGTTTGTAGGAGGTGTTGAAGGGGGGCAGTTTATGGGAGATGTTGAAGGGGGGTAGTTTATGGGAGGTGTTGAAGGGGGGTAGTTTATGGGAGGTGTTGAGGTGAGCGAAAGAATTTGGGCACAAGGTTGGTGATTACTCCAAGGCCTCAGGTTCTCCATTTCATGGGACTGTCACCCTCCTGGTGTCTGGTGACATGGACATAAAGGAAGATTATGGGAGCAAAGTCCCCATGGCAGAGCAAGGGCTCAGGGCATGAAAGCACCCCCTGCCCACCCCAGGGAGGGGATTGTTGTGAGAACTGGGAGAACTCCACTCTCCCTGCCTGCTCCACCCAGGCTGCTTTATTTCCTAATCTCTCCTTTGTGCTGCCCCAAATGCTGACAGAGCAAAGCCTGGGATTTGGGGCCTGACATCATTCTTGGTTTTGCAAGGGAGGATTCTGGTTCTCCAGGGCTGCAAATCCATCTCTGAATGGGCAGGTTGCTCAGATGGGTTGGGCTCTGAGGGAGGTGGGTGATGGCTTTGCCCTTTTCCCAGGAGGTTCTTTCATGGGTGCAAGTGCTGTGGAGTTCAGCAGCCCCTGGCACAGCTTCTCCAGACTCCAGGAAGGGCTGCAGGGATCACCTTTTGGTCCAGTGGCCCTTCCCAAGCCCATGTGCTGTGTGATGCAAGGTGGAGGGACTCTGCTTTGGCGTGTCCAGAGGGCACAGTGACTCCAGGGAACAAATTCCAGCCTGTGCTGATGGTCATGGGGGTTTGTGTGTGTGTGACACTGGTGGCTTGGCACTTGCTGCCGTGGGAAGGTCTGTTGTGACTGGGCTTCCACTTGTGCACCTTCTGTGGGTCTGTGCCAAAGAGGAGTTTGGTGCCTGTAGCTCTCCTGGCCTCAGGACTGGGTTTCCCAGTGTCTCCTGCAGCGTTTCTGGAGCTGTGTGTCAGTGATGCTTTGCATTTGTTGGAATACAGTGGGGGACCTTCTCTCTTTGGGATCTCAGCTGGAGCAGAAGCAGCAGCTGTCTCAGCCAGCTGCATTCTTTCACCTCTGAACGAGCACCAGGGGAGCCATCAGAGGGTGAAGGGGAAGAGGAAGTGAAATCCATGGAATCTGAGCTCAGGAAAGGGGGCAGGAAGGCGCTGTGAGTGCCTTATATCTACAGACACATAGTTCCTGTTAGTGGCTGTTTGTTGTGTTGCTTTATCTGACCTTTTCCCCTGGTGTTTGCAGTTCCTCTGGCAGTCCCCAGACAGTTTTGGGAACAGCATAAGGCCACCCTGCCTTTTCCCTTTGATCCTGACTGTCCATGTTAGCTCAGGTGTTGCTGCCCCTCCATAAAACCCTCCTGTGCTGTGTCTGAGCAGGTGAGCTCAGCCTAAGGCTCAGGGTTAGATGGCTCTTATGCTGCTTGAGCTCCATACAGAGTGTGGCTCAGGCTAGAAACCCATGATTGTCAGCCCCCAGAAACCCATCAGGGAATTTTTCCCTCCCCCTGCACCTCATTTGCAAAAATGTGTTTTGGCAGTTTGCAGGTTTGGTGGAGTGTTAAAGCAAAGGTTTCACAGGGGGCACCTGAAGGAAAAGCCAATCCTGTTCCCACTGCTCTTACCCCACAGCCCAGGGACAGCCACCCAGGAGCAAGTCAGGTCCTGCACCCCAAAAACCTGAGGTGCAATATTAGCATGGTCATAAAGGACTGACAGCTCTGCACTTACAAATCCAGTTCCTCTGAAAGCAGCAGCTCAATTCCTCCTCAGTGAGAGGCCACGAGGCAAATCTCTCTCTCTCAAGCTGACTGGGAGTTCCTGTCCCTTGACAGCTTTCACCTTCCCTGACATATGTGCAAAGAGCCTCAAGCAGCTGCTCCGGGGTGGGGCTGGAGATGGTCTCTTTCCAGAATTTAAAATAATATTGTGAAATAGAATTTGACTTGTGCAGGGGTTTGGGGTTGTTAATTTTTGCTCAGACTGAAAACTAGGTCAGACTCGGTGCTCCCTGTAAGTCAAAACCTTTCTGGATGTTTTAGCAGTAACAGGGAACGTGAAGTAGGTCATGGTTTTGGTTTCCTTCCTTAAAAGACTAAAGCAGTTTGGGAGCAAAACTCTCTGATTTTACAGCCAGGGAGTCTGTCTGTAATGATCAGTCTGTTCTGAGCATCCCCAGCCACTGAATCTCAGTCTCTCTTCCCTGAATTTGGGGCTGAATTTGCTCTCTTCCCTGAATTTGGGGCTGAATTTGCTCTCTTCCCTGAATTTGGGGCTGTAACTGCGAGAGATGTTGTTGAGCTTTTATAGAATAAGTTGTCCTAGAGAGCTAAAAGTGCTGTTGTGACCCTGCTGGAAGTCACACAGACCCATAGTTAGAGTTAGGCTTGTCCTAAGAGCAACCAGGATCGCTGCTGAAGAAGGTTTAAACCAGAGGCCATCTCCAAAAGGAAGGAGCAGTGGGATCTCACAGAAGTTCTTTGTCTCACCCTGAGATCTGACAGCTTTCAGGAGGTGATACCTTCTGATAAATACCACCCAGCCCTGCTCAGCCAGTCTGAGTTAATCAGGAAGTTTTTCCTTCTCCCTGGGGCTCAACCTTTCCAAAATGGTTCTTCTGCTTCCCATTAAGGAGCCGGTGCCGGGCAGGAGCCCACGTGTGCTCAGCACCCACCCCCTCCCTCTGCAAATCCTGCTCTGCCAAGAAGAATTCTCTCCTCATGCCCAAGAGAGAGCTTCCAAACTTTCATGTGGTTTGCAAGCAGGGGGTGATGGAGAGAGGGATCTTTGTGAGAACACATTGTTGGTGGTGGAGCTTGGAAGGGAAACGAGATTCCAAGCGGGCTGACTGTTCCATCAGCCACAATAACCTCCTTTGTGGGGTGCTGGGTCTCCTCCATGGACTGATCTGCCTTTTAAGCTTGCAAAACATATGGGAAAGGATCTTGTCCTCGAAGATCAGAGCGTGTTTCAGAGATGGGGTAATTTTAGGAGGACTTTGCTGTCTCTTAAATGCCAGGAGTAGACTCGCACCTCCTGTTTCTGGTTTGGTTTTGTAAGCACACAGTGAAAGTTGTCTGAGTGACCAGACAGATTCCTCCCACCTCCTGCAAATTGGCTTTGGGGTTCTGCTGTCAGTGGGGAGAGCAGGATGTGCTTCTGGGGGACTTCTTTGTCTAATACATTGTCATTTCCAGTTACATGTCTTTGGGCTTTTTTTTTTTCCCTTCGACCTCCTCTGAAATTTAGCCTCTGTTGGAAAGGTGAAGAATGCCATGAGTTTTTATTTACCATTATTTCAAAAAAAAAATGGGATCTGAACAAGGCCTGAAATTGTAGCTGCTGGAATATTCCTGGCTGGAAGGAATCTGTGGCAGCAATTGCATCTGGTTGGAGAGGCAGGAAAGGATGCCTGACTTGAAGAATTATGTGAGCATAAGTAGGTTCCTCTGAAAGAATCACCCTAAAAGGATGGTTATTTAATAAAAATCACAAAAGTGTTAACAAGAGAAGCTCAGGATAGATGATATGCTTGTGGAGGCATGTAGGCAGAGGAAAATAAGTGTAATAATTTTATTATTGTGTTTAGAAGAGGCTGGAGGTCCTGGGTTCAGGCTCCACTGCAGGCCTGGAGGATGTAGTTTGCATTTCTCCTGATGGTTTACAGCAGTGAAGGAATCTCCTGGGCTTGTTATTGCAAATCTTTGTGGAGGCCTGTGGCTCAGCTTTAATTTCTTCTTCTGTGGTCTGAGCCTTTGCAGTGAAGGGCTGTGAGCCAGAAGCACTTGAGCTGGCAAAAATCCCCCAAGCACCAACCTTTTTAAAGTAAATAAATAGATTTGACTGTTATGTGCTCCCAAATGGTATCCTATTTTTTTTTTTTTTTACCCTGTCTGGGTCCCTTCTCCTCCCTCTGCCAAATTCCAAAGGCAGAAGGGCAAACAGCAGGAGAAAAAAACTACCCTCTAAGGAGAGGCATGTTGCAAAGGAACACCTGCAGGGAGGTGCTGATGTGTCCCAGGGACTCTTTGCTCCCTGCAGAATGGGAAGGAGCCACTGCTCTGGGATGGGGAAGAGTCAAATCCAGCAAAAGCTGCTGGGATAACACTTTGGGGGAGGTGCAGAGACACAGGGAAGCTCTGTTTTCTCCCTTGCCAGGGGAGAAGGGAGTTTTTCTCTGACAGCCCCTGTGCCCTCCCTCCTGGCTGTGTGTGGTGGCATTGGCCTGGGGAAACACAATTCCTCCCTGCTGCTTAGGGAAGGAAAAAAACCTCCCTTATGGAAGGAAAAAAACTTCCCTTATGGAAGGGAAGTTCAGCTGCCTGGAAAGCTCCTTCTGGAGTCAGCTGAGTGGGAGATGAGGAGACAAGTGCAGAAAAGGGCCTTTGGGGATGTTCCTGTGAAGTGAGAGGGGTCATTCTGCTGCTTTCAGTCAGACTCCACCTCTGGAGGGGGGGATTCACCTTTGCTTTCATTGCTGTGTCTTGGAGGGGGAGGTGGCAGGGGGGTGACCTACTTACAACTGTCTCCATCTACTCTGAGCTGCCCTTGGGAGTGAGCACAGAGGTGCCTGTTGCTGTTGTTGTTGGTTTTGGGGGGTCCTTCCCGCTCAGTTTGGGCTCACAGATCTGCAGGAGCAGGAGGGTGAGGTGTTGTAAGGTGTGCTCCTCACCTGGAGGTGCTGCCAGGAGCTCGTGTGTGCCCTCAGCCAGAGGTGAGGTGCAGTTTGATGGGCTGGGGGAGGTGTTTGGTTCCACTCTGCAAACACAAATCACACTCTGTCTGTTGGCAGCCACTTCTCAACAGATCAGCCTCAGCCTCTTGTGATGGTGTGAACGTCCCCAAAACATGTTGAGGGATGACCCAAAGTCAGTGTGTGTGATGCCAGAAGGCTCTTCTGCCTTCTTTTAGTTAAGAGATGCCTGTGGCAGCCTTCAGGTGCAAGTCCCTGGTCACTGGCTGTCAGGAAAATGAGATTTCACCAGGACTGCAGCGACAGGACAAGGGGGAGCGGGTTCAGAGGAGGTTACAGGCAGTAGGTGTAGATTAGATATTAGGAAGAAATCCTTCCCTGTGAGGGTGGGGAGGCCCTGGCACGGGTTGCCCAGAGAAGCTGTGGCTGCCCCATCCCTGGAAGTGTCCAAGGCCAGGTTGGAGCAACCTGGGACAGTGGAAGGTGTCCCTGGGTGGAACTGGGTGATTTTTAAGTTCCCGTCTATGTGGCGACCACACAAAAGCTTTTGAACCAATACCTGACATTTCTGTCCATCTCTGTCCCCGCAGCATCCTGAGTGCCCACCGAGTGCCCAGCAGCTTCCACGCCCGGTTCTCTGCCCTGTCCAGGACCTACATTTACAGGCTGTTGCTGGGCTGTGCCCACCATTCCCAGGTGCCCGTGTTTGAGCGGGATCTGTGCTGGGCTCCTGCCGGAGGGTGAGTGTCTGCCATGGAATATCCCACCTCAGAACACTCTGGGAAGAAAGGAAGAGCATGAGGAGCAGCTGAGGGAGCTGGGGGCCTCAGCCTGGAGAAAAGGAGGCTCAGGGGGGACCTTCTTGCTCTCCACAATTCCCTGACAGGAGGGGGGAGCCGGGGGGAGTCGGGCTCTGCTCCCAGGGAAAAAGGGATGGGATGAGAGGGAACGGCCTCAAGCTGTGCCAGGGGAGGCTCAGGTTGGATATTAGGGAAAAATTTCCTCCTGGAAAGGGTGGTCAGGCACTGGAAGGGGCTGCCCAGGGAGGTTTGGAGTCCCCATCCCTGGAGGTGTCCAGGGAAGGGCTGGACATGGCACTCGGTGCTCTGGGCTGGGGGACAAGGTGGGGTCTTGTTGGACTCGAGGGTCTGGGAGGGCTTTCCCAACCCAAATAATTCTGTGATTCTGTGAAAGGCTTTTAGGGGCCAATTTCCACAGGTGAGACCTCGTTCCCTGTTTGTACTGACAGGATTTCCACAGGGAAATGCCCCAGGTTGTGTTCCCTGAGCCCTGACCCCCCCAGCTCCTTTGGGTGTCCCTGTCACCTGAGCACTCCCAGCACTGCTGAGACACTCCCTGGCTCTGGGGAAGGGATTTTGTGGGTCCCTGCCCGTGGGAGGGACGAGCATTTCCTCAGCTGACCTTCCCAGTTTGCCCAGCCTGAAGGAGCAGGGCTCTGGTGTGATGCAGAGGGGCAGAAATGCTTCACCCAGCAGCTCCCAGAGTTTGAGGTGTGACTTTTTACGTGCGGGCCGAAAATTCTTTCATTATTTATTTTCCCCTCTTTCTCTAAATCTCCTCTCTCGTTCCCTGAGCGTTGGAGCAACCCCTCAGTGGCTCTGAGCAACCCTACAATAATAAATCAGGGTATCAAGCTCAGTGTTCACTTGTGTTCTTGCAGTAACCACCGAGTCATAACAAATCAGTGCTTGTGTGTACGCAGGGGAAGAAAAACAAATTCAGTGCCGTTAAAGAAAAATACAAAATCTGAGGGCATGGTAAACAGTGGGTGAGGAAAAAAAAGCAAACAAAGCCCAGAAGATGATTTGTTATTGTTCCTTTAGTTTATGTTGTACTGAGATAAACACACATTCAAGAAACCTGGAGTTTTCTTAGGCATTGTAGAAAACCAGGTTTGTAGCCAGTTGTGGTCTTTTCATCAGCACTATTGGGGGTAACAGTTGTGGGTAATGGGAAAAAATGTAATTCCAGCTGCCTTAGGAGAGGAATGAAGATGACATTGCCCTAACATTAAACTGCTGACTTTCCAACTGCTGTGGAAGGGAAAAATAAATAGGAAAGTGCAGAATTAGATGTTGTGTGCACAATGTGCTTTGTGAAACAGCATTTAACCAAGTCCAGGCACTGCAATTAATTTTCTCAAATGGCAGCACCACGTAAAGGGAAGACTGAGCAGATCAGAAATTCTGAATGGGGGTAGGTTCTTACTAAAAGGTGGGATATTTGGACTGCCAGTAGTGGAGAAGCTCTTGGTTATTCTTCTTGAACACAGTGAAAAAAATTTAATGATGCTGGAAAATCTCATCTTGATTTTTTTGTTGTTTGTTTTTTGTTTGTTTTCTTCAGAAACATTTTGACTTCTGGTAAGATCTGGAAAACCTAAGCCAGGCTCATGTGTACTCGCTGAGGCTTTTCTTAATACAATAAAAATAAGCATCTGCTCAGCAAATACATCAGGAAATCTGTCCAAATTCTTGTGCTTGAGACCATTTTGAACAGACCTAAACACTTCAGATGAAGAAATCTGAGTGACACTTGAGGTTCTGAGTTTTACCCTTGGCCTTTTCTTCTGCATCCCCACCTTGGTTTCGTCCCTGCCCGTTTGCTCCCTCATTCCATTCCTGTTGCTTCCTAATTTGGCAAACCTTAAAACCTTGATTTTATTTTTGATTTTTTTTTTTTTAACCTGGCAGCATCTTTTTCAGTTTATAAGATCCAGAGACTGCAAAGCATTTTGCTTCACAGAGTATTCCGAGTTGGAAGGGACCCACCAGGCTCTCTTTGCCCTGCCTTGTCTCTCCAGCAATTCGGATGGAGTTACTTGAGTTTGAACTGTTCCAAGGAGCAGAGCAGGATAAAGGTTTGGGTAAAAGCCTGTGCCTGCCAGCCCTCCAAGGCTGGGGCTTTGAATACCTTCAGAGCTCAGGTCATTTGGCATTTTGGTTTGTGGTTTGGGCCGTTGCAAGACAGACTCCATCAAAATGTTTCTGCGGTGCCGCGAGGTGAAATCTGTGCCAGGTTTCGTGGATTCACTGGACTTTGACCCCCTCTAACGTTCTGGTCCCACCTGATGCTCCTTTCCCTTGGCTGTGTGTGTTTAATTCCAGGCCCCTGAACGTCCCTGCCATGCAGGAGGCAGCACAATTCCTGCTGGGAACCCACGACTTCAGCACCTTCCGCTCCCTCAACTCCGACACGGAATTCACGTCTCCGGTCAGGACCATCTTCCAGCTGGACATCCAGCCTTCAGCTGGCTTCCTATCCCACCACTACGAGCACAGGTGAGAGCCCAGAGACCCACCAAAAGTCTTTTCTGAGCTGAAAAGCTGCTCCCAGCCCCGTTTTGGGGACTGATCCTGTGCCGGGGCTCTGCTGAGTGACACCTTGGAAAGGGCCATGTCTTTCCCTCTCCTCCCCAAAAACGTGGTGGTTTGAGCCACCACAAAAAAATTCAAAATCCAATTTCCAGGCTTCCCCCACCCCTTCCCACAATTTTATCTCAACACTGAAGGGAAACTTTCAGGCAGACACCTCTGTAAAGGGAAGGGGAAGTACATACATTTATTATACATTTATTACTATACAAAATAAATACTGTACAAGCTAAAAGCAACTATATATACAATATTACACACTTCTGTCAGTCCCTCTAAGCCTCTCCCTCAGTCAGTCCAGGAAAAGCCCTTCAGGCTAATAGGTAAGCAGTCCTCAGGGAGAAAGATGGGCAGGAATGAGGGCAAGGGAAACTGGTCCAGTTGTTTGTCCATGAAAGGCTGGATGTTCTGAACTGGTGGCTGGAATCTGGCAGGGAGCAGTTCCTGTGAGGTGCTTCCAGCACTTTACACTCATTTTGGTTGCTAAAAACCAGCTCTGTACACTCGTTTTGGTTGCTAAAAACCAGCTCTGCCAAGGGATTAGACTTCTTTTTTTTTTTTTTTTTTCCCCTCCCCTGCTGCCGTCCTGGCTTTGCCTAAAGGCTGGAAATTTAGGGAAAAACCCACCCAACGCCTGGGTGAGTGCTGTGGTTGTGCAGATCCACTCAGTTCACACCACCAGCTCCTCCTGCCTTCCCAGGGGACGGTGCTGAAATCCAATATTCCTCAGTCGTTGCATAAACAACAGATAGTTGAGTATCAGGTTCTCTCAGGGCCAGGTCTTGCAAGTATTGAAATGAAGTGGCTGAATGCATTCTCTCTTGAGCAGAAACTCAAGTTTTTTCCCAGAAAGATCATGGATATTCATCATCTGAACATGACTTCTGCTTTCCTGCTGGCTTCTCTCACTGTTGTGTTTCAGCTCGAAAGCAAACTTTGTCTCAAATTCCATTTTTGTCCTTTAGGATGAGCCCTGGAAGTAGCAGAGCCCTGAGCTCACCTGAAAATAACCTTTAAGAGTCTCTCAAGATCACCAAATGGACCTCAAATCCAGCCCTGCTGTTGTCACTGGACTGATCTCTGAGATTTAAAACATTATTTTATGTCTCCAATTTTAACGTAAAACATGGAAATTGCCGTTCTTTGCATAACTTGCTGCAGGAACCCATCCCACAGGAGGCCAAAAACAGCTCGAAAGGGAGAGAAAACAACCCCAAAAACTGCTCTGCAAAGCATCAAACCAGCCCCTGATGGAATATTTTTGTTTTTGGTGACACATGCAGCCAAACTTGGGGTTTTACAGTGAGTCATTTTTATAACGTGTCAATATTAATTGGTTTAATGGATGTTCAGGCTGAAAAGGAATGGCTTTGAGGAGCATAATGGCATTTAACTCCCTTGGAATCCTTTGGCAGTGATAACCACGACCAGGAGCTTTCTGATTTGGAGACAAAAGCTGGGGGGTTTGGGTCTTTGTGACAGACTTAACGCAGTCCAAAAGGAGTTAGAAAAATGCAAAAATGGTTTGGAAAAATGCAAAAAATGGTTTGAAAAATGCAAAAAATGAGTTAGAAAAATGCAAGAATAGTTAGGAAACAGCTTGTAAAAGGTTTAACAGGTGCCAGTCAAGTGTTGGAGTGGTTACCCTCAGGAGAGTTCTTATAGGGAATGTTGGTTGCTACCATAAAAATTCCTGGAAAAATGATGTTTATATGAACACATTTGCTCCATCCATCCCCAAATATTCCCATTCCCGCTCTGGAAGTGTTTCCCTGTCTGCCACTACCTGTTCTCCTGCTCCAGCCAGATCCCTCAGGCCCATCTCCTGGCTCCTGACCCTTTCCAGTGGCACGTGGATGCCACGGTGGGCACTGCTGAGGGTTGGAATCCATCCTGCAATTCCTGGAAGCAGGAGCACGTGATTCCCTCAAGCCACCTCTGAAGGAATGGTGGGTTTTTTGCCATGGCTGGTGGTTTCTCCCTTTCTCCAGGGAATATCCAGGCTGAATCCCTCAGCCCAGCAGTGCCTTGGCTGCTGCTCAGGTGCACCTCGGTTTGGGGTTCCCCTTTTGCCTTTTATTTCAGGGGTTCTGCTTAGGACAGGAAGGTTACACTTAAGGCAGCAGGAAGGTCATAAAACCAGGAATGTGCCAAGCAGGTAGGAATTGTTTCATCCCAGAAAACCTCTGTGTCTGAGCAGCCAAGGAGCAGCCTGGGCTTCCAAACGGGGGGCAGTGCAGCTGCCTTGCTGTCCTCACATTCATCTTTGACATTTACTTCATCTGTGGGTGAAAGAACCGTTTGAAATGTGATGTTTAAATGCCTTTTTCTTTATTTTGATTTGGCTTTCTTTAGGGCTCTGGAGTTCTGGGAGGTGAAGATCAAGGGCAGGTCGTTCCTTTACCGACAGGTAGGTTTGAGGCTGTGTCCAGCAAACACTTTGCCTCCCAAGAACCAGAGTGTTGCTGCCTCTATAAATATGGATTGTTTTAGCAAAGTTCCACCCCTGTGTGGCTCCATCTCTTGCAGAGCTGCTGTTCCAGCTGTGTGACACTCACAGGGACCCCGGGGCAGCAGAGAGGTCAAGGATCTGTCCCCTTTGATCCATTAGAACCAGGATCCCTTTGGTTCGTGCCTAAAATGATTGTCCAGCCTCACAAACCCGTGTGGGAGGATGGAGGGTTTTGTTCTCCACAGTCCTTGTCCCTGCAGTGGGGTGGTAAAACCCAGCAGACATGTGTTCCTGCTCTGCTGGATGGCGCTGGGCCCGGCAAAGGCTGCCTGGAATTTTAGTCCCTGGCTTTGGAGCGTGAAGTGACTCTCAGTGGGAAGGCCTGACTTGAGCTCTGCAGCACAACTGCAGCATCTCTGCAGTTATTCCTTTGAAATAACTCCCCTGGGGGTTTGCTGCGATCCTGAGGGGAGACTCCCTCTTCCCAACTTCAGGCATCACCTCGTTAGGGAAGAGCTGCTCTCACTCTGCCTCCCCAGCCCTTGGTCACACTCTGGAGGCAGAGAACAGGCAGGAGAGGGCTTGTTTTTTTTTTTGGAGGAGAGGGGGTGTTTTGTGGGAACAGCAAGCAGCTATTTTTTATCCTGTTTTGACAAACCCAGTTTGTTTTTTATCCTGTGCCAAGCAACAGCTCTGGGAGCTGTGGCAGGAGGTGTCTGGATGGGAGCAGGGGAAGAACAACAATGTGCTTGGGAAGGGCTTGATACCCAGCAGGGATCTGCTCCCTCAGGTGCTCTGGTGACAAGGAGAAAATGCATCTGCTTCTGCCCTCCATCATAAAGAGGAGACCAGACCGAGGTGAACCTCTGCTCTCACTCATGTGGGCTCTATAAATACTGAAATCTGGATGGTTTCATTATTAAAAACCACCCCAAAACCTTTATTTTTTTTTAATATATATATTTTTTTTCTGAATGCCCTGGAGAAGGGGGAAGAAAAAAAACACGTGGCTGTTCAGGATGTGGACCATTAGTGTGGGTTTTTTTTTTCCAGCTGACTCTTGAGTGTGGAGACATCACAACTGAAGTCGTGGCATGCAATGACCTCTAGTGAGGGTGGATAAAATAACAGATGTGGAGGATCCTGCAGGCAGGCTCTGGGCACTCCAAGATCAGAGCACACAAGGAGAGCCAGCACTTGCCTCTGGATAAATATTTCTTGGCTTGTTGGACCTTCCTCCTTACCAGGGATAAACATGACCTTAGTGGGGTTTGGTTTATTCTTTAGTAAATGCCAGTGGATCAGAAACTCCGAGCAGTGATTCATCCCAGCACTGCAGGGAAGGGTTTGGAGAGCTCTGAAAGGGCATTCAGGGAATGAGTGTTTGTTTAGTCCAAATAACTGATGTTTGTAGCCACCACACAGGGAGAATTAAGGATGGAGAACCAGGGATGGAGAATTAGGGGAGGAGAACCAGGGATGGAGAATTAGGGATGAAAAACCAGGGATGGAGAATTAGAGATGGAGAATCAGGAGGATGGAGAATTAGGGGTGGAGAATTAGGGGTGGAGAATTAGGGGTGGAGAACCAGGGATGGAGAACCAGGGATGGAGAGGCAGCATTTGGTGTGCAGGTGGCATTGGCAGCTCCAAATCTTGGCCCTCCTGGGGATACAGGAGGAATTTTCTCAGCCAGGAGGATGCTGAGGTGTGAGGGCTGTTTGTGCAGGAGGGGAGCACTGAGGTGTGAAATCTCTGCCAACCCACCAGGTCTGGAATTGCTGGGTGTGGAGGGAGGGAAGGGAAGCAGTGACAAGCAGAGGTGTGTGAAATACCAGTTTGCTGGTGGGATGTCCTATTTGGGTGATTTTTTTTTTTTCCCTCCTCCCTCTTTTCTGGCTTTCTGAGAGAGAAACAAAGTCCCTGCATAATCCTCCACCTGAAAAGTGTTGCTTGTGTGTTGAAACCTGTGAGCTCAGCTCCCCACCAGGCACATGAGCTTCCTGCCACAGACCCTGTGTGGGGGCTGCTGTTGTTTCTGGAGCTGAAAGCAGCCCCTGCTCAGCTCCCTTCCCACGTGTGAGGAGAGCAAAGCCTTGCTCCAAGGCACTGCTGTGGGGCTGGAGATCCTTGTGTTGCAGGTCTTTAGTGACTGTCTTTAGTTGCAGGGAAGGACTTAAAGGAAATGGGGTGATTTTACTGGTTCTTTTGCCTTCCCCACCAGCCAGCTTTGGGCACTGAGAAGGTTCCACTGCACGTTGCAGGCAGGCTGAGTGTGTCACCCAACCCAGGCAGCCCCTGCCATCCCTGCTAAAAGGGGAAAGAACAGCTTTTCTTGCAGATTTTGGGGTTACTGTGGCTGCTGGGGAGAGCTCAGGGACTCTTAAGGGGTGATAAACTTTCTGAAGAGGTAAAGTGAGCACTGGAAGTGCTCCCTGGGAGGGGATTATGTGATGCCAAAGGTACACAAGGGGCAGCCAGGGCTGGCTTGGACCCTGATGGATGAGCCTGGGTGGGCTGTGACTTGAGGTACTTCAGTGGCACCTAAAACAAGGGTCTGGACAGAAGTTCCTCATCTGCTCTGGAGTTTCTCCAGGGCAGCTTCTGAGCCGTGGCCTCTGTTTTCCCAGGTCAGGAGGATGGTGGGGGCTCTGGTTGCAGTTGGCATGGGGAGGTTGGCACCTCATCACGTGAAGGAGCTGCTGGAGGTCAAAGATGCCCTGGCTTTTCCTCCCAATATCATGGCCCCGCCCTCGGGGCTCTTCCTGAAATCCGTGGAATACAACGAGGCAGGTGGGTGGATGCTGGGAATGGCTTGGGGTTTTGGGGGAGTCAGGCCTGTGTGGGCACCCACCCAGGATGGTTGGGGTTGGAAGGGACCTTGAAGATCATCTCGTGAAGGTCCCAGGGAGGGTGTCAGACACAGAGGGGTTCCCAGCAGCTGACGTGGAAAAACAAGTGTGTTTTTCACTTGCAGATTTTCCCCTCTTCCTTGTCCCCCTCCTTCCCTCCCAGAGCCCGGGGGGAAGTGCAGAGCACAAATTTTAAGTGCTTTCAGGTGGTTTCTCTGCCATCTTTCGCCCTAAGTCAATGTTTCCTTTTTTTTCCCTCTCTCCCCTCTCAGATTTGGATGTGACAGTGGCCCCAGGAGGATGAATAGAGCCCTGTGGGATGAGCTGTGTGTGAAAGGACTGCTGTGGCTGTGGGATGGAGCCTGGCCAGGGGACACAGCCTTGTCTCAATAAAAACCATTGACTGTGGCTGGAGCATCTTCCTATCATTTGTTCTTGCCCTCTGAGGCTGCCAAGGGAAGGGGAAGAGCTGCCCTCAGATAACTGCTCGTTCTTTTTGCCTTCCTCTGGGCTTCTGCTGCCTGTCTCAGGAGGAGGAAGGGGTTGGGGCTTGGTTTTTTTTGTAGGTGGGGTGTTTTTCTCCTCCTGTGGTGTGTGTGGGAGGAAGGCAGGCTGAGAGCAGGGGAGAATTGAGCATTTCCTCTTCTCCCCAGCCCTGCCTTTGTGCAGGGCAAGGGCCGACTGTTGCTGCCTGAGGAGTGATTTACAGCCCCAGCCTTTGAAAGTGCTGCTGTTTCCTCTCCCCATCACTGCTGAGCTGCAGCAGAGGAACTTCCTCCTGTCCCTTGGTACAAAGGCACTTCTGTACAGCCCAAAGTCCCTCTGAGGTCACTTAAAACAAGTTTTAATGGTCCCAGCACGGGAGCAGCGACTGGGGTGAGTCAGGAGAACCACGAAAAGGCCCTTTGGGTTTTCTCTGAGGTGGCTCGTGCTGCTGCTGGGCTCTGAGGTGCTTGCTGTCACCTTTTGCTCCTCTCTCTGGTGCTGCAGAGTGTTCTGGGGCTGTCAGAGATCTCAGGGCCTGTGAATCACAGTGCAGAGCTATATTTTTCTTTTCATATATTTTTATATATTTATATATAGAAACATATATTTTATATATTAAATATATATATTATATATATATATATTTTTATATATTTTATATATTTATATATTTTATATATTTAAATATATATTTTATATATTATATATAATGTATTATATATATATTTTATATATTTAAATATATCTATTTTATATATTTAAATATATTTTATATATATTATGTATAATGTATTAAATATATTTATATAGTTTATATATCTAAATACATATTTTTATATATTATATATAATGTATAAAATATATTTATATATTTTATATATTTAAATATATTTTTATATATATTATATATAATGTATTATATATATACTTATATATTTTATATATTTAAATATATTTTTATATAATATATATTTATAATGTATTATATATTTATATATTTTATATATTTAAATATCTATTTTTATATATTATATATACAATGTATTTTATATATATATTTTATATATTTAAATATGGGC